AATAGTTCATATTCCGTTTTTTACACTCGTTCCTACTACTAAGGACGTTCGCTTTTTTGTTAATTTCTATAGACTCCCTAATCTTACGCTTTGACGTAAAGTTCCCGTAACCCGCAAAACGTGTTTTGGACCAGTCTATTGATTGTCCTGCAATGGCCATGTGTTAAGCGAGGTCAGCTTTTGGGACCCACAGATGTTTAAAAGCGGTTTTGTATTTGCATAGTCTCTTGTGAATAGGTCGGCAGGTCTCCCCCACATATAAGTTACCACATGAGCATAAAACCTTGTAACAGCCAGATCTAGAAAGAGGGTTTGAATATTCTCTTAGCAAAGAAACTACTAACGAAAGTGTTACTTTCTCTTTATACATTGTTTTTATGTTCTATTTTCAAAAATAATTTGGGGAAATTCCTTAAGCTAATAAATAGAATACATACAAACACTAAGTTTAACATGGAGTTGAATAATGAAAATAAATTCCTTTTTTTACGTGTATTAGTGAACAAAGAAGGTAATAAGTTATCTTGATACCTATATATAAAACCAACTTACGCGGTTTTCCTTCACGAACCATAAAGATAAAGTAAAAATAGGATATATGAAGCCTGCCTCTTGCAGATGAAAACCATAGGGGCCAGAAGATTGGGGGATTGGAGGATATACTGTTTCAAAAAATTACCCATATTAATTGTACTTAACAAGATTAAGGGTATTTGATATCAGGCGCGGGATAGAAAACTGGACACTTTTACTCGGTTCCTGATCCTGCCTTCCTGTCAGCTAGTTAAAAAGTTTAGGCAAACTACTGCCGAAATGGAGCATAAAAACAATGTATAAACAGAAATAAACACTTTCGTCAATAGTTCCTTCGTTTAGAGAACATTCAGACCCTCTTTTTATATAAGGCCGTTACAAGGTTTTGTGCTCATATGGTAAGATATATGGGGGGGAGACCTGCCGACCCATTCAAACAGAGACTATGCGAGCACAAGCCGCTTGTTAAGGTCTCTGGTTCCCGAAATCTGACCTCGCTGAACATATGGTCAATACTGGGCACTCAATAGACTGGTCCAAAACACAACGTTCTGCGGGCTACAGGAACTTCACGTCAAAGCGTACGATTAGGTAGTCTTTAGAAATTAACAAAACAGCCAACGTCCTGTATAGGCGGAACGAGTGTAGAAAACTGAGTAGGAACTATTTATGGCTGTTGGATAGACCTAAAGAGAGGGAGAGAGGGGATGCAGGAAGAGCCACGGAGTAAGACGAGGCTGGATTAGCCTTGTATCTAGCTTGGACTATCATACTACCCATGACACGAACATTACATACACACAATAGACAATAGCATAAACCCAAACATGATTCAACACTCGAGGATCGTACACTAGTTTATTTGTGTAAGGAAACAGCTGCTACTGAACGCATTTCCGTTTCTGGAAGTGAACTTGACTCATTTGCAAGCCAACCAAATCATGGGAGGCCTCAATAAGATCGCGATGTTAGTTATATAAAAAAGCGACTAGGGTTGCAGCCATCTTCTTCTCTTGGTTTAGTATATTTTTGCTATATTTCGTAAAGTATGGAATCTTGCTCTGATGATATCCGTCACAGTATAGACGAAAGCTAAGCACAGTTTTATCGGGGTCGCAGGACAGTGAGCCGAGGACTTCTTCGCACAATTAAACAGTCTTCCTTACGTGACAATCCTCCTTCGGTTTCCTGTAAGACCACACCACGAATTCCTTCCAGCCAACCTCCCATTTGAAACGGAGAATCATGCTACATTATTTAATTGTGGAATTCTTCGGAACCCAGTTTTTTTCATAGCCTAAGATAAAGGCTGTACTTCCACTTGAAGTGGTCTTCGAGATTTTAATTTTATTGATGTTGAATTGGCCACTTTGAATTCCCTTTATTATCGCTTTTCAGATTGTCGAAATGCTCTTTCAACGTGGTCTTATTCGTCTTCTCTTCGCAACTGAAACTTTCGCTTTGGGTGTCAATATGCCGGCTCGCTCCGTTATATTTTCCTCTCTCGAGAAATTTGATGGAAAACAACTTCGGCGTCTAAATCCTGGTTGGTTGCATTAATATTATTTTATTACCAAATTTATTTTATAAACAAGCTTTACCATAATGATTTTCAATTCTATATTTTACATTTTGCCAGCGATTTGCGGTTAGCTTGTTCATCTCATATATTTTGATCATTAATAGAGATTACGTGCATAAAACTCATCATGAGACGTAAATATGTTAATATAATATGTGAAAACTCTTCACCCTCTTCTACAGCGGGTATTTAAGTGAGATACTTTCATGCAATACATTAAAGAGCTGTTTCTGTTCATTAGACTTTTTTAAGTCAACATATTTGGGCTGCAGTTTTGTTTACGTTCCCACTTGAATATTGGTGGCCTGATCTGAGCTTTTGGGTATATTTCACTTATATTTTAATGATATCTTAATTTCATTTTTGTACGGAACCCGCTAAAGCTCCCAAATGAGGTTATTGGAAATAACATTAATTTATGAGTTGTGTTCAATCTATTTAGTTTAAGTTGATGAAGGACTCGCAATTTATTTTTCTCACAATTATATGAGTAGAGCTGATGTTTTCCATTCAATTTCACAGCCTTGCTTTCCCAATAGGTGTTCTCATCCAGATTGGACTGCAGTTTAGACCTCTTATAGGTTTTATCAATACCCCAGGCATGAGTCGAACCATGAGTGTGCAGCATGTAAGCCTGACACGTCAACCACTACGCCACATTGTCACAAATGCCTTTTGGTCACAGGGCAGATGTAACTTTTAAGGAATATCAGGCATTTTCCATATCACATTATGTGTTGGGATTGTCTATGAAGCAAACTTATTTTTGCTATAGTAATTGACGACATTACTTTTTTCATACATAAGTAGGTTTTTGAGACTACCAGTAAATCAGATATATAAATTGTGTTCACCGTATTTCGTTTAAGGTGGTGAAGGACTGGTAGTCTGACCTTCCTTGAAATTCACATTCACCCTGTGACCTAAGGAAAGTCGTGGCAATGTGGCGTAGTGGCTCACGTGTTGAGCTTACACGCTGCACTTTCATGGTTCGACTCCCGCTTGGTGTATTGATAAGACCTATCCGAAGTTGAAACTGCAGTTCACTCTGGATGAGAACCCTTTGGGAAGGCAAGGCTATGTGCAATTCAATGGAAGACATCAGCTCTACTCGTATAATTGTGGGAAAAATCAACTACCAGTCCTTCATCATCTTAAACGAAATATGGTGAACACAACTCATATATCAGATTTACTGATAGTCTCTAAAACCTACTCATTTACGAAAAAAAACATTAATTTATTCCATTCTCACTTATAAGCATCTATCTGATGCTATATTCTGAGGCCAAATTACGACATTTTTCCTCTTAGTGTGTCGAATTTCGTTTTGCTCAAGTGTTCAAGTCGTAGATATTTCCTGATCAATCTCATTAAAACATGATTGATGAATGCTAATAAGATACATCGTTCTTCTTGTGCTATTAGTGACACTAATAAATATTTATATGAGAAGGCTCAATATCGTGCCTTCATAAATAGCGTTTCTGTCCAGGACGGATATCACCCAGATCTCATCAATCAGATGAGAGCTATTTAAGTTCGGATTATACTTGATTGAGTCAATGAGCTTTACTTTCAAGCTGATTATTAACGTTAATTGATTTGATTTCTTGCCAGAGTCAGACTACTACGCACTACTAGATGACGAAATTTTGCTCAAAATGAATAAACTTTATCTTTGTATGATTTATGCTCAAAAGCGCTATCTTGCAGATACAATTCCCCGATGTTCCTATCAATTTTTTTACGTTTGTGCTATCTGGGTATCTATGGTAAGCGAATTGATCGCATGGAGGTTTTTCTGAATGTTTTTTTGTTCTATTATATATGCTTGGCTGAGATTATCAGAAAGTATATAATGAGTCATTTGAATAATATATCAATATGGTCTATCAAAAATAATTCGTGGATCTCTTTCAGGGATACTTTGAAGAAATATAATCTTTATTATGGACATATTTGAACATCAAATCAGTCCTCGGCTTTAAATCTTGCATTTTCCTATTTTTGTTTTTGCTTGAATCGTTTTACTTAAGCCATATTGTTTTATTGCCTCATTCCCTAATGACCTATTTTTCTTTGAAATTTTAGTCACTTCTCGTTTACTTCGCCTTTCTACTTTACATTAGGCGAATATACACAAATGGCTGGACGCGCTGGAAGGCGTGGTTTGGATGTTACTGGAACTGTGATCCTTTTGCTTAATGACCCATCAAAATTTCCAACGCAGTTAGATCTTGAGGCGATGATTCTTGGTACTCCTACCCAGCTACGGTCTCAATTTAAGATCACCTATTCGATGATTCTTCATCTCCACCGAACTGATGGGCTGTCCCCCTGTGTAAGCTATATTTGCCGTAGTTACACTTCTATTGGTTGCATTAAATAATTCTGGATTTATACATGCTGATTTCTTTTATTCCAATGCTACACATTATTTTAAGTGTCACTGGTGCATTTCTGGTTTAATTTGAACATACGTGATATTGTTTTTCATATTGTAAAACTTTTGATAAAATGGCGAATAATAATCATCATCATACAACTTTACAAGTAAAATTTTTAAGATTATTTTACTGGCATTCATTTACTCATATAACTTCCATGCTTACCCGTTTGATCATGCATGCCTATATTTGTAGCGTTTTTTCCACAATACTTTTTCACATTTCCATTGATTTTCACATAGCCTTGCTTTTAAAAAGGTATTTTCATCCAGAGTGGACTGCAGTTTCGACCTCGGCAAGGTCTCATCAAAATCTCGGTTGGGATTTGAGCTCGGGCAGTGCAATGTATAGTTTCGAGGCTATTAGTTTAC